ACAGACAGATTAAGGCTTTTACAATATTGAAATAATCAATTTATAGTTTCTACTCTCTTTTCAGCAGGTTTCATTATGGGCTTCCCTACATATACCCTTTTTGGCATTAAAACTGCAATTCTTAAAAAACACCTCTTTAGGTCAACAACCAGCAGGTTACAGGATATTAGATATTACCTAGGACCATAATCCAGGAATGGTTTTGTACAAACTGGGATAGCCATGGATAATCTGGGACAACAGGTAAACATGCATGATATTTAAGTCTAAAAATTAGTGGGATATTGCCTATATATGTTGTACAATGCATTTTTCACTTTGTCACCATATAAAGGGGATCTGTAGATCCATGCTCAAGTGAAAAAAAACACTTATTTGAACATAAACCATTCTTCATCCAATGCATTCATTGCCTACAGCGTATTATTTATTTTTAGTCATACATAAGTGCTTCCCAAAGTGATATATCCTTGCAACTTGTTACAGAAACTCCCATCTATGTGATGTATGCTGTTTTAATTCAAACAAACATAAGAAACTACCTAGTATAGGCAAATAGATATCTCACAGTTAAAACTATGTGAGGCTGTTTTTTAAATTTTTTAATTAAAATATTTCCTGTCCAATTCATCTAATTTCTTTTGCAAGGTTGGTGTGGCTTCTTGCATTTCATTGATAACACCTAAATACTTTGTAAAGATAATCTATATATTTGCCACACAACTCAGCAATCAGAATGTTGAGCTAGTAAGACTTATTTTCTCCATTCATTTGTCCTTCAAATGACACTTAACTCAATGCTGGACCAAATGTAGAAATTTGGCAACTTGAAAGGGAGAAAGTGAAGCATGAAGTCCATTTTTAATTACACAGTGTGTGTAAAGTAATTTCACAGTGGCATGTGAGCCACTGGAGAAAAAGAGAGATGGGGAGAGAAAGAAAGAGAGAAATGTTAAATGAAAGGAAGAATGGGTTTAAAAAAAAAGAATGCACAAAGACCATGAGAAAGATGTGTCACCAAGTGCCAGGAAATGCCCTCCCTAGTGACCCTACATTTGCAAATTTTGATATGTTTAGAAGGAAATGATGTATCCTTTGCTGATCTGATATGTCACAGTGGCTGACCTCTTTAGCTAGTTACACATAAACCAGTTTAAGTGATCAGAATCTGGTTTAAACCTATAAGGCTAGGGACAGATATTACACATAAACCAGTTTAAGTGATTTAACTGACAGAAACTGGTTTAAACCTGTAACAGAAGAGATGTTCAGTGCACATAAACCAGTCTGAAAATGGCTGAAACCAGTTTGAGATAAACCTGGTTGAATGTAGTATCAGACTTAACTGATCTGTGTCAAACCAGTTTATGCAATGTCTGTCCCAGACTTCTTGCTGGTTTAAGATAAACCAGACTCCCTCAGCATCCCGGCAGGCTCTCTGGGCTGGGTGGAGCTCTCTGCTCCACAGCAGGGCTAGCTCCTCCCCTGTGCTCCCTGGCCGGAGCTCTGGCAGAGACTACAGGTAGGTACAGCACTGTCTGCCTGGCTTTCCTCTGCCCTTCCCTCCCCGCCCTCGCTACTTGCTGGATAAGCATGGATCCCCCTCTCCCTCCTTCTTACCTCCCACTCCACAGACCCTAACCCCATGGACCCTAGGCATGTGGTATGCTAGCTAACACTGAGCGGTGTCTCTGTGTGTGAGTGGCTCCAATTTCACTGGGACAGGCAGATAGAACAGTGACCGCTTAGGGCTTTTTGGAGCTACTCAATAGGTCAGCTGTTGAGCTGTTTAAGAAGAGTTTGAATTAATGGAGAGAGACTGTTGTTTTGCTGATGAGGTGATAAACACTATTATCAGCCCTCTGCTTGTTTGCTCACCTGTCAGTTTGCTGTAGACACTATAAAGAATCAGGGAGAGGGAGATTGAAAAGCTCCATATCATCAACAGATGCATGCATTGCACAACCCCCCATTGCCTCAGAATGCTAGCAGAGGGCTGGAGGTTGGCAGCACTCCCACCCCCTGAGGAGCCAGTAGGGAAAAGCCTGGGATGGTGCAGGCAAACCTGCCTAATAAGAGGTCCTGTTGGGGCCTGGCCATGCCCCGCCCCTCAGCTCAGGGAAGGGCGGGCTGCTTTACACTCCCAGCTTCTAGCCTGAGCCACTGCAGGCATGTGCCTGAATTTCCTCAGTCCAGAGAGAATGTTTGTCCAGTTACAAACCAGTTCAGCCTAGCCAGGTTAGACTAACCTGCAAAGATTGAATCAATTCAGGCTCAGACTTTTTGAATGTCTGTCCCTATCTTAACAGAACAGAAGTTCAATGCACATAAACTAGTTTCAAAATGGTTGAAACTGGTTTAAGATAAACCTGGTTGAATGTAGTATCAGAATTAACTGATTTGGGTCAAACCAGTTTATAAAACTTCTGTCCAAGACCCCTTCCTGGTACAAGTTAAATCAGAGTCCCAGCATCACAGAATGTTTTGCAGCCCTCAACTGGGCTATACCGTCTTCTCCAAAGAGCAGGGGTGGCCCAGTCCCTCTGCTCCATAGTTGGAGCAGTGAGGGCTGGCTGACAAAGGGGTAGGAGTGGGAGCAAGCCTGGCTGGGGATGCAGCCCAGTATATGGGGGGGGGGGGGGGGTGTACGCCCCCCCCCCCCCCCTGCCCCCCTACCCCCAAGCAAACACCAGCTAGGGTATGGGGCCAGGGAGAGGGTTAAACACCCCTTCCGCCACTCAAACTTACTGCTGGCTGCATCTGTGGGCTACAAATCCCAGAGGCACCTGGAAGCAGGAAGAGGAAGTGATGAGCAACCCTGCAGAGTCCTACTGCTATAATTCTGGACTGCAAATCCCAGAGACCTTGGGGGCAGCAGGAAGAGGAAGTGACAGAGAGCCATGCTGTAGCACTCCACAGCTTCTTGCCTGAGCCACTGTATGTATGCAGCTGTATTTCCTGAATCAAAGGTAAATGTCTGTTCACTTCTGTTTTAATTTAATCTGTGCAGTTTAGAGTAACCTGCAAAGATTTAATTTATTCAGCCTTGGGCTTTTTGACGGTCTGTATTTAGCCTTCATGAATGTGTCCAAGGTCATGACAGAGTACAATAATAGTTGGACACAAACCTCTCCTCCTCTTGGATACTAACTCATCTTCTTTATTGCTTCTTCATGCAAATTTAGACAGAGGTTTGTAGGCTTTTGGTTACCAAGTACTATATAGCACTTGGTAACCAATGCTTCAAATCTTGAATGCAAGCTCTGGGACAAAGAATGTAGCCTAGTATTCAATTAGCATGCTGATAGTGTCCTAAATGAGAACAGGAGTTTGGAAGAGAACTCAGTACAATCCTCCAATACCTCTGCAGGTAGAGAGAAGGGAACAACCAACAGGCACCAAGAGACTTCTACAACGCCACAAGATAATACAATAATACAAAAGGTGGGGCTACTCCTGGTTAGAATGTATGACTTGCACTGAAACAGCACCTAGAACAGAGAGTCCCATTGTGCCTATGCAAAATAGATTACTTAAGGCTAACTGATAATTGATACTGACAAGAATCAGGAACAAAGGAACAGGAATCAGGAACAGACTTCCAGGAAGTTTGATGAACACTTGATTAGGGTGTAAGATTAGCTCAAAGCATGCAACAGTTCAAAGTGCTAAGTTTAGGGCATACTTGGTTCACGAGGAGAGAAAAGGCCTTACACATAAATTAGACAAGTGCCTCCACTGAAAATCTGGGTAGAGAGAAAATCAGTGCTGTGAGATTATAAATAACAGAGTAAACAAATCCCTGGTGAAGCTCACAGTAATGGCTGCTACATGAGAATTTATTTATTCTGGTGCTGGAAAGCCAGACAACGTTCAGTATGGAAGCAGCCATTAGATACTGTACCTAAGTACAGTAAAAAAGCCTGAGGCCAAATCCTTCAATCTCCACAGGTTAGTCTAAACTGCATAGATTGAACCAATAAGCAAGTGAACAGATATTCACTTTTGATCCAGGAAATGCAGCCACATGCCTGTAGCATCCTAGGCCAGAAGCTAGGAGGCATTAGAACATGTCTCCCTGCTCACCTGGAGCAGACAGCTTGGGCCAAGACTAGCCCACCCACCATGCAAGGGGAGAGAAGGGCTGCAGGGGGAGGTGCAAAGCATCCTGGGATGCTGGGGGACTGTGAGTTAACTTGAATCTGGAGGGGATCTGAGACAGAAGTTCAAATAAACCGATTTAACGTAAATAGGTAAGTCTGATACTATATCCATCCAGGTTGATCTTAAACTGGTTCCAGCCATTTTGGAAATGGTTTATGTGCACTGAATTTCTGTTGTGTTAAAGATTTGAACCATTTCTGATCACTTATACATTTCTGATACACTTATGTGTACTTTCTGTCGATAGCCTGTAACATCATGCTTTCAAAAGCTGATGCAATTTGGATTTCCATATTTTGCTTAAAAAGAAAATAAGTATCTAGCAAATCAAACACAAAGCATTTATTAAAAGAAGTATTTATGAACAACTATTACACTTAGGACAGAGTTCTTTCTCCCGCTGTGAAATGATGAGGCATTAAAAAAAGTCTTTGGACTTGAAAAATGGAATCATACTGGCTACTTCTCTGCACCTCAGGCTACAATTGAGAGTTGTTACATTCAAAATCAGGCACTATTTCATTTACATACAGATGAAAAATATATAGACAAATATTTATGTAGAATTATACAACCCCAGATAAATGGAATCATTGTAACAATGGTGGAGTTCATATGGTACCACATCAAGAGTGCATACGCATCTTTATCTTTTCCTATTACTTTTATAAAAAATTGTACTTCACAAGAATATTAGTAGTTTCAGTGCTATATCTGTGGAGTATTGAAACATCAGAAAAGTTGATCCCTTTCTCTGTCTCAGTAAATTCAGCCAAGCCTAGAAAATGTGTCTATCACAACTGATTTATATTTGTGATGTGTAAGCCTAATCTCACCTGTCATGGTGTCTTTCCTGGAAGTGTGTTCTCCTTTATTTCCATGGTAAGTGGCATTTGTTCCAGTTGATTCATAGTCTGTTTTCCTTTCTTTTAAATTGATCATTTCCCGAGGTGAGGCAGGGGCACTTGCTAGATAATAAAAACAAAATTATTTTTCTCTACTCATGTTACTGAATAACACTGAGATAGCTAATGTACTAATAGTTACATTTATTAGTATACAGTAATTAAGGTGAGTGAAATGTATAGATGACAGAATGAATTTGGGAGGAGGTTAGAAGAGCTTCTGTTTCAAATGTAGGAGAAACATGTATTTCTTTTGAATGCATTTCTGCATTTTTGTCTGCATATTTTGATTTACAGTTTTGTTTACAAGCACCATCTGACATGATCATACTAGAAAAATATTTGCAAGAAAACTATACTTTTTGCTTTCACTTTTCTGTTTCTTTGTGAATCTGTCAATATTTTACATCATAGGCAGTTTCATTTTTC